AATGCAAACATGTCATCTGATGTTTACATACATCACATAAAACAGTATTGAGAGAAAGGCTCACTGTCTGTTCCTCAGGCTGGGACAGGAGATCACACACTGTATTATAATGCAAAGGAACAAGTAATAGGTTTATTCCATTCTGAAAAGAGAAGAGAGAAAACACATTCAGGCTGTGAAGCCTTCTTCAGGTGTAAGAAAGACAGGGTAGACAGCAAAGATTAAATGGCACAGAAGAACAAAAGCTCGGAGAGGGGAGGAGGCAAGAGAGGCAGAGAGGCCACTCAGGAAGTGCAACGTGGAGAGGGGTGAAGAGAGGTGTGAAGTCAAAACCTGCATGAGAGGAGAGAAGATGACACGAAAATAAGTCTGTCATTGAGAGAAGGGGGACGGTTTCATTTCTGTTGTCTTTCTGCTATGGGAGTTGAGAAACCCTTCTTTGAGAACAGAGACAGAAAGATCAGTGTGATCATGGCCTTCGGAGGTGAAATGAGAAACTAGGGGCTTGGAGAAGTCTTCAACCTTCACAGCCCTAACATGTTCTCTGAAGCGGTCTCCTAGTCTCCTTCCAGTTTCCCCAACTTGGATAACTGGGCATTTTTTGCAGGAGATACAGTAAATGAGGTTGCTGGAGGTACAGGATGTCGTCTGGGTGATCCAGAATTGACCTGAGGGGCCCTGAATGAGCGTGTTGTTAGATATGTATTTGCAGGTGATGCAGCGAGTTCTGTTGCAGGGGAAGGTGCCTGGTGGGGATGATTGCCGAGTGCGGTCAAGGGAGCTGTGAACCAGAAGTTTACATAGATTGGTTGGTCGGTGGTATGACATGATTGGGTGGTTAGAAAAAAGGATACTGTTGGAGGGATCGCCCTGTAGAATGGAGTAGTTGTTAATAATGGTCCTGGGGGTAGAGTGTGTTAGAGTGGTAGGGAAGCTCCAAAGGAATGTGGTGAGACCGGGAGTTGCTGGTCGAGTTGATGATCCCAGGGCTGTTTTTGGCCTGGGTGAGGGCCCTGTCGATTACATGTTGATGTTGTAATGGTGGAGAAAGTGCTGTGTGCCTCCTCCTTCAGTGCCAGGTCAAAACTCCCAGGTGAAGTGATTGTCAGTCCAGGGTGTGTGTAGCTGGTTGTGTGTTCCACAGTGGTGTTGTGCAGTGTGGAGTGGTACCTGTTTCCCTGAGATCTGGCTTTCTTCTGGCCAACCATGACTCTGGTCTTCCCCTGACCCCCTCTGTCTCTGCTGTCGCGGGACTTCCCTGCACTGACCTGCCTGTCTTGCAGAGCTGTGTGAGAGTCGCCGGGAGAGCAGGGGCTGCCGTCGGTGGTGGCTCTGCTACACTCTGCTCAGGAATCCCAGCCTGGTGGTCCACCGGAGACGCGGCCCGGCGCCCAACAGCTCTTCTGGCTACTGCTGAAACTCCGGCCCCGTGCCGGGACTGACTGAGGACCTTGTGCCTCCTGGGAGGCTGCTGACACACAACATTAAGGAGCCTTCAATACCTCCCACTGTGGTGCAGCTGTGCTCAGAAGAACTCTGCACTTCCTCCACACTCCCCCCATCGCAGGTCTTCTGAACAGACACTTCTGAGGACAGCAGGTTAACCACTCAGGATAACAGTCAGCTTGCCTTACCTAGAAACCTGACTTGTAAGAAACATCTTGCAAATGTGTTATACAGGTAATTGTGCAAAGCTTTTATAAACCAGTTATTATTTTCTTAAAGAACGTTGTTTTGTGTTAATTCTGGTGTGCGTGTGTTAATCTCCGTCTCAGATGTGGGTGTGGCTGAGGGCGACAGCACATTAACAGATTCTGCTCGAGAAAAACACAGGTATTGTTGAGTCTTTCAGAGCGGGGGTGGAATTGGGACACAGAAGCCCCTCTGGCTCCAAGCAGCAGGGCTGCAGAACACAGCGCTGAGGAGCTGGTCTGTAAATCAGTTTTATTACAGGAAGTGGTAAGTGATTTGTGCAGCTGGTACATTAGTCGAGAAGTTTTATTTCCTGTTAATGATGCAGTCAGCCACAGAGCAGATAAAAAACCTAGTAAAAGCAACTCAACAAAACATCTTAAAGCTTTTTCCATACAAGTATAAGGGCCTGTAGGAGCTCACTATTTTGTTATAAATTGAGATAATAACGATACAATCGATAAAACATGAACAGTCATATTTGAACATAAGTACAGTTATATCCATGCATTTCCTAATCCCTTTATCCAATGCTGGATAGTGGGTAGCCAGA